AGAGAGAGAGAGAGGGAAGCAGGCTCCCTGCGGAGCAGAGAGCCCGATGCGGGACTCGATCCCAGGACCCCGAGATCATGACCTGAGCCGAAGGCAGCGGCTTAACCCACTGAGCCACCCAGGCGCCCTGAATGGTGCTTTTTTGAAGGAAGAGTTTGTTCTCTGATGCCCTGTGGAGGCTGCGGAGTTTGAGATCTGGCTTCTGGCTCGGTGTTCTTGGTGGTAGTGCCCTTCGGGGACCCGTGGGGGCCTCCTCTTCTCCCCGCCTGTTTCACCTGAGTGTTTGAACAGCAGAGTGGCATCGTTGGGTGGGGGCCCAGCCGTCTGCCTCATGTGTCCCCCCCGCCCCCCGGCCGTATTCCTGTGCACATCCCTTCCTCATGCCGTGGGACCAGCTCTTCAGCACCGTCGCCTGGGAGACCATACTGCCAGGCAACTGGAAGCCAGTCCTTTGTCATTTAGATGAGAGAGAGGTCTCTAGATTCAGCCCTGGGACCCCACTTCCTGCAAGGATGAGGGGTGAGAGCCCTGTCTCTGTAACCCTGGGCTGGCCAGAGGGACGGGGCAGGGAAGGGGTTCTGCCTGCTTATCCCCAGGAGGTATCCAGCCAAGAAACGTGTGGGTGCCCTGCTCCCTGGGCTATGGGTGGCCATGAAATGGACGAGGTAAGAAGGCTGTCCAGGGCAGCCCTCTCAGGGAGCACCACGGGCCCTGACGCCCTCCAGAACCCAGATTCCAGGGCCCCATGGCATCGTCCCCACCTGGACTTCAAACCCCGTTGCTCCCCTCCTCCTCGTTTCTGTCAGCCGCACAAGCCCCAGGGGAAACACACCATAAATCATTACATCTTGGAGACAGGAGCAGATGGAGGCTTTGGGGGAAGGGGAGGAAGCCAGGTTATGTTTGGCAGAGCAGAAAGCAGAGTCTGGTAAGGAAAATGTTTCTGTGTTTAAGCTTCGAGGAATGTTAAATGCCTGGGAGTTGATATTAAAAGAAACACAAACCTTCCTACTGCCAGCTGACCTGGGCCTGTGAGTGGCCAGGCCGGAGCCAGCATTCCCTAGAGGACTTCGAAGTCTCCCAGCCGTCACCTCCTCAGGGCCCAGCCCCGGTACAGCCCTTGGCCCTCAGCCGTGGAGCCGTCTTGCCAGCCTTCCTGTGGGTCGGGGAGGGGTAGGGGTGTCCCGCGAGGTCTGCTTGCCCTGTGATGCCCCTCTGAGCCCCTGAGGATGACTGGGCTGGGTGGGAAGCCTGCACTGAGCCATTCCCATGTGGCTAGGCCCACCAGAGCCATGGAACGGTCTGTTCCCGCAGCTTCTCCCACCTCCCTTTCTGCCACGTGTCCAAGGAAGGAAATTGGCACCGGCCTCTGGCACTTGGTTCTGCTCCCCTAAAGCAGGCCCCGAGGATGGAGCAAAGGGTGGCTTTGTGGTAGGGGCTATCCTTGCTAACATTCAGGTCGCCTAAAGGAGAGGCAGGGGGAAGAAGGCCCACCTCTGTCCCCATTTGTGCCCCTTCTCACCTAGTCCAACTAGAGAACAGCACGGGGAGCCCATTTCCTGAGTTCCAGGTGTTTGTTCCCAAATGAGTCTCCGTGTGGCTTTGCCTGATGTGGCAATGGGGGCAGGGAATCTGGAGCAGCAGGCTGGGGGACAGGGGCAGCGTTTAGGGACGGGCAAATGGCGGCACTAATCAGCAACACATGTGTGTAGCACCTGTGCTCTTGGAGGCATATGCCCAAATATGATCTCCTCTGATCTGTGCCATAGCCCTGCAAGGAAAATGACAACCACACCATCCCCAGGAGGACTCTGAGGCCTCTGCTGCCTCTGCTTACTTAGTGCAGGGAAGCCAGCCCTGTCCCCTCTATTTGGGTCCCTATGCCCCAGGCCTCTGACAGGGAGTCTCTCAGCCCGGGTCCTAGAGAAAGAGCCAGGGCGATGTCCCACCCCAGCATCCCACTTCATGGTGTAAGTGAGCCTGAGCCACGCTTAGTCTGGAGTCCTCTTACCTTGGTGGTGGACACTTATGGCCCAGTGCACCTGGAGGGAAGCAGAATGAGCACAGGCACAGGGGAAGGAGCCAGTGCGGGGAGACCTATGGTCCCTCTGCATTGTACCCAGCACCGGCTGGCTGCTCCAAGGGCCGTAGGGCCTGGCTTGAAGATGACACAAGTGTATCAAGACATGTCAAGCCACTAGAAAGTGCAACAAGATGCCAGGAATGATGATCACAACACCCAAGAGCTTCTTGGGAGCCCAGGACTGGGCTGATGCTCACAGCTGCTATCTCAGGGGTCCCCTATGGGGAAGCAAAGTGATCACACATACGTAGATGAGAAAACGAAAGCAACGAAGCGGTGAGTAACCTGTCCAAGGCCAGGCGGCCCATGGGAGCGAGCCAGGACCGGAACCAGGACCGGAACCAGGACTGGAAGTAAGACTGGAGCCAGGTCTGGAAGCGGGACCTAAAGCAGGACCAGAACCAGGACTGGAAGCAGGACTGGAGCCAGGACTGGCAGTAACACTGGAACCAGGACTGGAAACAGGACTGGAAGTAAGACTGGAACCAGTCCTGGAAGCAGGATCTGAAGCAGAACTAGAACCAGAACCAAAAGCAGGACCAGAACCAGAATGGGAACCAGGGCTGGAAGCGGAACCACAGCCAGGACTGGAAGTAAGACTTGAACCAGAACTAGAACCGGGGCCGGAAGCAGGACCAGAAGTAAGACTGGAACCAGTATCAGAAGCAGGCCCGGAAGCAGGACTGGAAGCAGACCCAGGCCTTGCCCTCTGCAGGTGCTCTCCCACCGACCACTGTTCCCTACAGTATTAGATGGAAAAGTGTGCGGGAGGAATTCAAAGAAGGCAAGATCATTGTGGGCTGGAGTTAAGGAGGCTCCCAGGAGGAGCTGGAGGGAGAGGAATTGGAGAACATTGGGTTTTTTAAATTCCAAATCCAGTGTTTACATTAGAAGGAAAAAGACAATTATAGTAAAGAAATGTGATACATAATCACTGACCACCCCTACTCCCACTCCTCTGAAACAGCCATTCGATTTTGTGCCTTTTCCCTTCTTCAGGCATAGAAATTTTATATAGTTTTAATCACAGTGTGTATTTTGTATTTTTTCTGTTTTCACGTAATCGTATCATAAACCTCCCTTTTTTCTAGAGCTGTATGTAGTCCTTATAATCTTTTTTGTTACGTTGTCAAAAATACTTATTATACCATATAAAAATCATTTTACATAATGGCCAGCACGTTAATTGCCATTTTAAGGCTCTGTGTTACTCTAGCAAGGTGGAGAGGCTCTGGAACAGCAGAAGGGAGCGGGCTGGGCATCCAGGGGGAAGGGCCTTCATGGCCATGCAGGGAGGCGGGAGCATGCTGGGAGTGTCCCAGGAAATTAAGGAGCCCACCTGCCCTGAGCAGGAGGGATTGTGAGCACACAAGTAAGAGGAAGGTTGATGGAATGAATGAAAGAAGAGGATCAGGAGGGTTTCAGGCGGGAGGACTCCTAGAGGGCATTTAATCCAATTCTGTTTTGGGTGGAGAAGGAAACTGAAACCAGAAAGGGTAAGGGACATGCCACAGTGGTTGAGCAAGGGTTCTAAATTCAGGAGCCCAGTCCCAGGCTGGTGATGTTTGGCTGGCTGCCAGACAAATGAATGAAAGAAAATGCTTCTAGATGGGGCAGGGACAGTCTTGAATGTCAGTCTGTGACCCTCAGGGGTCTGCCCTTTGTCATTACAAATTCAGTGGAGCCCTTCTTTCCTTCCCCACCACCACCCCAGCTGGATGTGTTTCTCC